GATTAAAAATAAATAAACAAGATTTAATGAAAATGAAATATTTCGTTATCATCAAAATAACAAATAACAAAATAAATAACTAAATATAAAAAAGATCATATTCTATTAATAAAAATAAATTATATTAAAATAATAAAATAATTATAATTGTTCTCAAATTATCCTACTTCCAATCTGCATTTTACTTCAAATACTGTATTTTTTGTGAATTTTATTAATTCTTTATAAAATAAAATTTCAAATATGATTCTTTCCATAAACTTAATCTTCTTTTTTTAATTCAATTATATCATATTCTCTAATTTATATATTCTTTTATATTTCTTTTATCGTTGTAATTGAGTCTTCATCATTTATTTCAGTTCTTTATTTCTCTTTTATATTAATACTTCATTTTCTTATTTTTATAATTATCTAACTATTATAGTATTCATAACCGTTATAATTTGATTAATTTGTTGCGTTTTGATAATCAAATGTTATTATTAAGTGATTTATATTGGATATTTAATTACTATTAATACAAATAATATTATATAATATTGTAATAACAAATTGTTGGAAAATATATAAAATAGTAGATAATGATAAAAATGAAATATTGTATTTATATATTTGAAGTTTATAGTATTGAAATTTTGATGAAAATACTGAAATAAAATATTATAAAATGATTATGGTAATTATATTTGATTTTATTCAATGAATATAAATTATAACTAATTTCTTCACTATTTCAAAGTGAATTTATAAATTAAGTGATAACAAATATGACAAGTATCTAAATATAATCAAAATAAATTTAAATAGATTTTATTATTTCATTATTCATTATTTTTATCATTAATAAATTTAATAATCATAATATAATTAAAATACATAGATAGAGATAGTAATAATGACAAGAGATAATAGTATAATATAATAAAATGAATAATAATATATGATAATAATTTTATTCTATTTTTAATTGGTTTCAATTAAAATTTATTCATTTAAATACACAATGTTCATTTAATTTATTTCTTATTATTTCCATTTATTTACTACATTTAATTAAAACAAAGTATTATTAATATTAAAAAGAAGTATTAAATAATAAAACAATATCAATATTCATTTTATTATGAATATAAAATAATACAATAATTTAATAAAAATATTTAAATTCATTAACATTTATTAAAATATTAAACATATTAAAGCAATAAGAAGAATAAAAGAAGAATGAATTATTATATTTAATTATATTATTATATATTAATAAGATTATTAAATAAGAAGATTACAAAAGAATGATGAAATTTAATTCAATAAATAAAGTAATTATTTGTTAATTATTTTATCATTGCATAATAAACATAATATGTGATCAGTTAATTATTGAATTAAATTTAATTCATAATGAGAATATTAAATCTGTTGATTCTAATAAATATTCTAATTATATCATTTTATTTAACATTGAAGAATAATTATCATATTGATATGATCTGATAAATTAATTCAATTGTTATTTATATTTCAAAGTTGAATATGATAAATAAATATTCATAATAAATTAAAATAAAAAGTTATTTAATTGTATTCAATCGGATTTATGATAATATTAATTCTAAATGAACATCAAATTTGATTAATTGATTAAATTTTAATTTTATTATTATTTGTATTAAATTGATAAAAATAAGAAGATATATTTCTTAATAAAATGTAAATAAATAATCATAATGAAAAATATAAACTATTATAATAACTTATAATAACATGTTTGAATATAAATTAATAAGATTTCAATACAAATTAATAATGTATTATTAAATTATTACTTATAGTTTATTAATAAAATATTACATTTAAATTAATAAAATAATGTATATTAAAAGTAGAATAATCAAATAAAGTAAATTTAACATATTAAAATGTAATAAATAATATAAATAATTATTTATGTTATTATTATATTGAATTATTATTCATTCTTTATATTTTCAATTTATTTAAATTAAAATAACAATTTAATAATAGAATTATAACAATTGAATTGATTTATAATAGTATTAATTATTCTTATACTTTTATTTCATTGTTATTTGTTATTCAATATAAAATTAATACTTATTATCATTAATTTATTATTTTTATTTGAAATATCTCATTTATAATACTGTTTTAATATAAATGAAAAATATTTTAAATGAGAATATCATATTTATTGAACCACATCAGAATTGTACTGATTATCTTATAATAGTTGATATAATTATCATAAAACAACTCTTCTTTTTATAAAACATGAATGCAATTTAAAATTACTTTAACATAATCATTGATGATGTTATTTTATTATTAAATTAAATTTATTATGATAATTTATCTCTGTTTTCTTTCTAATGTGCCTTGTGCTGAAATGTGATTATTATAGTTTGCTGTTCTTCCTGTGGTTATTTAGTGAGGCATAACTCATTCTTTACTTTCTTTTAGTTTTTGTTGTTTTCTTCTTTCTCATTTTTAATTTCTTCTGTTTCATTGATTTCTTATTCTATCTTCAATTTCACTTCTCTCATTTTATAAAACAAATCCTTTCAATTTATTTCAATTCTTATTCTTTAAATATCACACATTTCCATCATTTCTATCTCTTCCTTTCTTCTTTCTTCCTCTACCATCTTTTTAATCTCTTCAACCATCTCTTTCGTCCTTTGACTTCGAACTCTGACCATTCCTATGTTCATCATTCCATTTCTGCTTTCAATCCTCTCACTTATCTCTTTCTGTCTCTCTAAACTACACTACTTTGTGAATCCTCTTTCTCTTCCTTCTTTTTAACATTCTCAAACCTTAAAACTACTCAAAATGCACTCTAATCCATCACTTACCATTCTTTCATCATTCTCAATCCATTCATTTGTTAAACTCTCAACTACGTTCTCTACCATTCCGTTGTCAATTGCAAGTTCAATCAACTGACAATCATTTAACAAACATATTTGATGAAAGAGTTCCAAAGAAAGTTCTTTGATTTTCAGATATTTTGAGCGAATACAAGTAACAAGAAATTGAAGTGCATCAGCGTTTTCTTTAAGTAACTTTAAATACGATGGTAAATATTGTTCAAATAAGAATAACTTGTTGAGGAAATATATCAATTCAACAAGAATATCATTTGAAGCTTCTTGTAAATAGTTGAATATTGACAGTACAAAAGAATTCATTGACAGCCACAATGAATTACATTTCTTGCACCACACTAGCACCATTTTTAGCACACGCTCTTTACATTTATCTGAGTCATACAAAATTATACTAACTAATTGATGCATAATTCCATTATCTAACGCTGTCTTTATGATTGATTGAAATGATTCTGATGTGTGTTTCATTACAATCAACATGATTGCCATTACATCACCAAATGATTGTTGGAGAAATTCATGAGCAATTTCATATATTTTCATTGATATAGACTCACATTGGAATGGTAATTGATGTGTGTATGAAGCTAAAAAACTACCAATAGCCTTGAAGACTTGAGCATCTTCACAGTTAATGAGTTTTTGAGCAATAGATAAAAAGTTATTGATAAATTCTTCAGTCAAGAATTCATTACGTAATTCTATTTGAGCTTGAAATAATAATGCTAATATATGTAATGATTCAATAAAAATAGTGATATTAGATGATGATAATTGATTGATTATATTAGATATTAAAAATGATACAACTCCAGTTTGTTTGAATATTTCTACAGATTGATAAGTAATTCCAAGAGAAATTTGATGAATAATTTTTAAAATTATTATTAGGTTGGTAGTGTTTTGTTGGAATAAAGGAACAAAACATTGAATCATAGAATTAACAAGATTTTGCTCAATTTTTACTTCTTTGTCATAAAGGATTTGATAAATAAAATCAATACCTGTAGAATCATTATTAAGAATCATATTGATTCCTTTTCTTATAAACTACTCAATATAAGTGTATTAATTGTGTTTTAGTTAAATAATTAAGAAAAAATTACAAACATATTTATCATTAATACTTAATTCTTTCAATTCATTTTCATTTCTTAATTTTTGAAGTAGTTTTTGTCTTCTTTGATTTCTGAGTGAGTTTTGTATAGCTAATCTTTGTCCATTTTCATATTTAGTAATTCTAAATGACATTGTTTCTTTTGATAATAAATTTCAAGTTCAGATCTGATCATAAGAACATTCAAAACATTCCATCAAAAGAATATTTAGAATTCTTTATATTATATTGAAGTAATTAAAAAGTAAATAAACAAAGAAAAGAATAAGTAAAGATATAAAAATGATAAAAAAAAAAAAGAAAAGGAAAAGAAAAATTGTAGAATGAATGATTTTAAATTCAATTAGTAGTAATAGCTCCTAAATTGTAATAGATATGAACATCAACTCCCTCTCTGTATACTTCAAATCCAAATCCTTTATTTAAAAAGGAATATTCAATAGCTATTGGTTGTCCAAATGAATTTAACATCGATTGGTGTGTAGAAATTTCATGACCAGGAACACTTTCAACAAGTTTAGAAATAATTTCAGCAGTTGGTTGAGGAATAATAACACCAAGTTTAACAAATCCATCAGTAGAAGTAATAATAGATAAAGTAATTTCTGAAACTGAATTTCCTAAATTACAAATAATTTCTTCTAATGTATTAGAAATAGGTGGAAATCCAAATGTTGAACATGCTTCTTTAATTACAGTTAATTTAACTTGATTTGGTCCAACTACTTTAAATTTAAAATCTGTTTGTCTAGGAGGTGTAGCACCCATATCTCTTCCAACAGAAATAATAGAATTCATTCCATGTTGTTCAGCCCATTGAACTAATACATCTAAAGCACTATTTCCATTACCTTTATCACCTGCATTTTTACCAATAGATAATTCTGTATCAACTGGGAAAAACCATCCACCATCCATTCCTCCTTGTTGACTCATATCAATCCATGAACCAATAAAAAATGGATTAATTTCTGCACCTAAATCATTTAATCTATCAATCTCAACTTCTGGTGCTCCTACATTCCAAAAGAAATCTACCATTTTTTGAATTAATGCACCTTGTGGTCCATCAACTCTCCAACTTAATTTATTTGTATCAGCAGAAACACATAATGTTAATTTAGCAATTTCTCCTGCTTCCATATCAGTATTAGTTGGTAATGAATCTTTCCAAATACCAAGAAAATCAAGAACTCCTTCTGGATTATTTGACATTAACCATTTAAACATTTCTTTTGCTATATCAATTGATTGTATTCCAATTTTTTTTGTTATATTTCCTGGAATATTTAATGCCCAATTTGATGATGAATTATTTGTTGTTTGAGAAGAAGTAGATTGTTGTTGAGGTACTGGTGGAATATATGGTTGTTGTATTGGAGAAATATTTGATTGTTGAGTAGATATTGTTGGTTGATTAACTGGTGGAATATATGATTGTGTCATAGGTGGTGGTACCATAGGTTCTGAAACAGATGAAACATTAGGAGGTGGTACATATGTAGTTTGTGATGTAATAGGATTTGAAGTATTATTTTTTTTATCTCCTGAAAGAACTTGATTAATTGCTTTAAGAAATCCTTTTAAATCTGTTTCTGATTCAACAAAAATTAAGAATTCACGTTCACCTTTAACTCCTCTAGAATTAATTGAAAAAGAAAATTTTTTCTTTTGTCCTGGTTGAGTTAAATCTTTTACTTCAGTTCCTGGTGTTAAATCAATCCATCCTTTTGCTTCAGTGTCATTCTTTCCAGCAAAATACCACATTTTTCTATCTTTAATTACAAACCATCTTCTTTTCCATGATTTCCATGATCCTCCTTGTTTAGTTGCCCATCCCTCAAAATTACTTGGTTGTAATGATGCTACTGATACATTAATTTTATGTGACATTTATTGAATGGATTTTTTGTTCATTCCAGTTCATTCAGATCTCCTTTTTCTTTCTTTCTTTAAAAAAAAAAATAAACCCTTTAATTTTAAGTTCTCATCTTCCTTCTATTTTTTACTTATTTTTCCTGTCTTTTCCCACTTTTTAACTGCTTCTTTAAAAATTAATAGTTCTTATTAAATCTATTTTCAGAATTGACATGTATGGCTTATTCATAACTTATTAAAATAGTTAATTAAAAATTTTTATATTTCTCTTTTAAAATGAATTTCTTATTTATTTCTTTTTTGTTATAACCAAACTTTGAAAAATAATAATTAATCTTAAAAATCAAACAATTAGAATCATTTTATTCATCTTCTTTGCTCTTTGATAATATTTCAGATCTTTCTTCTTCTTCATTTTCTAATTCTTCATCATCACAAATAAATCCATCATATTCATAATTATCATCACCTTCATCTTCTGATATAATATTATCATCATTAATATCTTCTCCATCAGTTTCATCATGAAGATAATCATTTGAATTTTCAATGTCATCAATACTTTGATCCATTTCTCTATTATATTGTATTTCTCTTTCCATATCACTTCCTAAATCATCACTGTTAATATAACCATTATCAAAAATATTATTATTTTCATATTCTTCTTCAAAAGCAGAAGATGACATTTCATCATTACTTGAAAGTTCATCATCACTTGATTCTAAATTATCATAATAATTTCTTTTATTTTGTGCGTATTCAAATAATAATACATTTGCACGTTCTTTTTTAACAATTACACCAACTTGCTTTGATTTAGTAGATACATCTGGTATTCCACTAATATATCCATCTCCCATAACTTTGGAATATTCAAAACATGAATCAACAACATCAGTTCGACTAATCATTTTACAATCCATAGTAAATGCAGCAAAAGTTGTATTAAAAACTAATGAATGACCTTGATGTTCTTCATTTTCATCATATTTAAAACTAACAAAAATTTCATCATCAATAACTCTTGAATAACATCCACTTAATAAATCTGTTGTTTTCTTTAATTTTAACATTCTAAGATCCCATAATTCTGAATCAATTAAAATATCAAGACAATCAGAAGTAAACATACCTCCATTATAACTTGTTAAAAAATCAAATGTATAAATAGGATTTTTTTGTCTTATATCAAATATACGTCTTGAACTAAATAATAATGAATCACATGGTGAAAATACTGGTGGAGATGTAATTGGAATATCAGGAATAATAAATGTTTCAATAAATTCTGATGTTATTGAATCAATTAAATCAAGTTTTTTTTCTGTTCTACTTGCTCCACAAATTATATCTCCATTATTAGATATAGTAAAAGCACCATAACCTTCAATTCGATTAATAGGATTAGTTGTAATATCTTTTTGTTGAAGATCAGTTAATAAAAAAGTCATTAAACTTCCATTTTCATTAAGTGCATAAACTCTTTTTTTATTAACTATTAATTGATCAATTGAATGAATACCATCTCCATTATAAGCAAACCAATCATAATATGTTTTATCATTTTCAAACATTTTTAATGCTCCTGAATTTGTTCCAACTATTAATCCATCATCAATAATTGCTAAACTACTTACTTGTGAATCAATTTCAGGAGAATCAATAATAAATCTTTTAATTGAATTAGAACTATATGCTAAAGTCATATTATATTGATTTGTATACATTATATTATTTCCATAACACATTTTATTCATTAATCTTTGTGCAAGATTTAATGAAATTTCATAATTTTTAAAATAATTATTATCACAATAATGTTTTTGAGTAATTTTTTGTTCAGGAATAATAGTAGAACATTTTTTACATTGAAGATGTTGATGTGTAATATAATCTTTTACAACTTCATCAAATGTTACAGTATTAATAGATTCTTGATTTATTAAATTTAATTTTGCTTCTTGTTTTAATGTTTCTGCTGATTTTATCAATCCTTCTTTAATAAAATGATTATAAACTAATATTAATGCATCTTTTTTATCAAATTCAACAACCATTCTATCTAATAAATTAATATGTTTAATAAGATAATGTTCTTTTTCAATATTATTTCCATTTGTAATAAATTGAATCATCATTTGTGCAACATTAATTAATAATTTAATTCCATTATTACTTTCTAATGAAACATTATCACTCATTTTATATAATACTTTTCTACATAATTCATTAATTTTTAATGGTTTTAATATTGCCATAACTCCATCATCTTCTTTAGACATAATTAATAAAATTTGTATTGAAAAATATACTATATCAACATCTAATTTATCATTAAATTCACATTCTAATAAATTCATTAATCCAGTAATAAATCCATTTTTTTTTAAAATTTCAATAATTTGTTGATTTTTTTCTTTATTTGAAATACAATGAAAAATTGTTCTTGTAACACTTAATACAATTTCTCTTGAAATATTAATATCTTCAATAAATGTTTTTAACATTGCAGGTCCATTAAATTCTTTAGTATATTCAATATTTGAATCTTTTAATTCATCAATTTCTTCATCATTTTGTAAATCTTCTTCCATTATATTTTCATCTATATTATTTTGTTTTGGTTCATTCATAATAACTTGACTTGCTTCTGGAACTAAAGAAGCAAATTGAAGAATATCAAATAAAATTTCAATCATTCCATTACAATGTGCTTCATAATAACCACAATTAATATTAATTCCATTAATTAATCTACAAAATAACTTTATTAAACCACTTTTAGCAAGTGCTTGAATAACTGATATATGTTTAAATAATTCAATATTTCCATTTGTTTGATGTATTAATTTAGAATATAAATCTCTAATTCCTGTTGAAGAAACATAAACACTTTGATATGGTTGATTTGGATAACCAAGAATAATAAAAAAATGTTTGATTATTGGTGCATGAATAATATCTCTTACAAAACTAAAACATGGAATAATTATATCTTTATCTTCAGATTTTGATGATGCATAAATAATAACTTGTTTTAATATATTAGTATCTACAATAATATCAAAATTATCTGGAATAGAAAGAAGAAGTTTAAGTACACCTAATGTTGCTTTTTGTCTTAAAATTAATAATGAAGTTAATGAATCAACACAATTATTAATAAATTGTTTAATTGATTTTGCTCTATAATCATGTAATAATGAAATAATTTGATGTTCATAAATAATACCTGTAAACATATTTAAAATTCCATTTAATCTTTGTTCATTTATTATATTTATTTCTGATGGAAATCCTTGAATTAATTCTTTACAATAATCTTGTGCCATTGACATAATATTTCCTATAAAATACATTGCTTCACTATATAAATAATCATTATAAAGAATAAAACTCATTTGAATTCTTTGTTGTAATATATATTCTTCATTCATTAATTCTTCATTTTTTTCCCATTTAATATCATCTCTTGTTACAATAATGCCTGATATAATATTATTGATTTTACTTTTTATATTATTATTAAATTCAATAAATGGTGTTCCAACAGAATTAATAACATCATTTGGAAATCTTTTCATTGAACAATAACATCCTTTTAATTCTAATAAGTCCCATAATTCATTTGATATTTCTGAACATTTTACATCAGTACTATTATCAAATAAATTAATTTCTTTATCTTCAAATGTTCCTTTTTGTGCTAATGCATCAATATTATTACTAAAATTTCCTTGATTATCAATATTAAATCCATTAGTATTAATAAAAGTAAGTAAAACTCTTTCTTTAAATTCAGTACAATTATCTAACATATCATCTCTTATAACAATTATTCCAAATATTATCATAGCATAACAAAATGCCTTTTTCTCAAATAAATCAGCTTTTTGACAAATCCAATTAATTAATTCTGTTTTCACATCAGCACTTTGTAATGCTTTATTTAATAAACTTCCACAAAGCATTCTAAGTCCATATACTGAATTTTCATTAAATTCTTGTGTAGTCCACATTTTCATAAAATCAATACATTTACTAAAAACTTCTGGATCAATATCACTTAATATAATAGAATTAAATTCTTCTTGGGTTTCTATCATTGTTCCTCTTTCAAAACATGATGATAAATGATCACATGCATTTCTCCATTCCTCAATTCCTTTTTGACATTCAATCCGTTCCAACATAAAATTATTTAATTTTTCAAGTTCATTTTCTATATCAATACTATTACTATCAATTGTTTCTTCTATTGATTCACTAACTTCTTGTCCTGAGTCATAAGAGTAATCAATACCATGCATCTTGTATTTATTATTCTTTAATTTAATTTTTTTTTTTTGTGTCTTTCAAAATTTATTTTCTGTTTTTTTTTTTTTTCTTCAAATAAAAAAAAAAATAATAAAATAATATTAAATTTAAATTACTTTTACTTCCTCAAATGGAAAACAATCATATTAATATGATCTTCCAAAACATCCATATGTAGTTGCCTTCTTTCCACATTGGAAACAAACTGCTCCTTCTGGAAGTGAATCTTGTTTCAATGGAATACAAAGTACTTTTGCAGATCCTGTTAAAATAGCTTGTTCTTTATCAGATTGACTTTTAGCTCTTTCAATTGATTCAGTAGCTGATCTAGTTTTAATAGATTTTTCACATTCTTCTCCTTCACACCAAGGTGCTAAACATGAACATCTCTTATCAAGACTATCCATAAATTCATTCCAAGTAGAAATTTTAATTAAATGAGCATCTCTTGCTTTAAGTGCTTTTTCATACATATCATGATGCATTTCATCAATAGTCTTTTTAATGTTTTGAATTAAATCTTCCCAAGTTGATTCACTTTTAGTACCATTATCTCTTCTAACAATAACAACTTTCTTTCCTTCATAATCTCTTGGACCTAATTCAATTCTTATTGGAATACCTCTCATTTCATATTCTGAGAATTTCCATCCTGGTTTATGCATTTCATTAGTATCAGCAAATGCTCTAATTCCATTATCAAGTAATATTTGTGTTAATTCTTCAGCTTTAGCATCCATTTCATCATTAGGAGATCCTTTATGATGAAGAGTAATAATAACAACTTGCTTTTGTGCAGCACGTGGTGGAACAATAATACCTTTATTATCTCCATGTGTCATAATAGTAACACCAATAGAACGAGTAGATAATCCCCATGAATTTTGCCAAACAAGTTGTTTTTTATTATCTTCATCTTCAAATTCAATTTGGAATAATTTAGAAAATGTTTGTCCAAGATGATGAGAAGTTGCTGCTTGTACTGATCTTCCATTAGTTGGAATAATACATTCAACAGTTAATGAATAATAAGCACCTGGGAATGTTTCTCCTTTAGATTTTTTTCCTCTAATAACAGGAACAGCAAGAAGATCTTCATAAACAGATGCATATAATTCTAAAATTTGATGACATTCTTTTTCTGCTTCAATTTGTGTAGCAAAAGCAGTATGACCTTCTTGCCATAAAAATTCTCTTGTTCTAATAAATGGATATGGATGTGAAAATTCCCATCTAACAACATTACACCATTGATTAACTTTAATTGGTAAATCTCTATGTCCAGAAATCCAATTTTTAAATGCTGGATAAATAATTGTTTCTGATGTTGGTCTTAATGCAATTGGTTCTTGAAGATCAGATTGTCCTGATTTAGTAACCCATGCAACTTCTGGTGTAAATCCATTTAATTCATCTTCTTCTTTTTTAAGAGTAGCTTGTGAAACAAAACATGGGAAATATGCATTTTCAACTCCCATTTTCTTAATTCTAGTATCCATAAAATGTTGAATATTTTCCCAAATTCCATAAGCAGATGGTTTTAAAATATAACATCCTGAGATGTCATAATATTCAATTAATCCTGATTGAACAACAATTTGGGAATACCATTCTGGAAAATTTCCTTCTTTATCAAGTCTTTTTCTTGTATCAATTTTAGTTCCTTCTTTATCTACTTTTGGTGCTTTTTGTTTTGGTTTTCTTTCTTTCTTTTGTTGTTGTTGAATAACTTTAACTTCTTTAATCTCACTAGACATTTTTTTTATGATTCATTATAGATTTAAAGGGTTTGAATATAAGGGTTTAGTTCATTTTCAATACAAAAATCTTTTTTTCTTTTTATTTTCAATACTTGTTTATAATCAAACAACAATTATTATTCATTGTTAGTAGTAATACAATGGTTATATTTTATACTAAATGAATTTGAAATTTAGAATTACTTTTTGTATAAATTATTTTCAAGTATTCTTATAAAATATTCTTTCATAAAATAAATTTTTGAATATTCATTATTAAACAAACTATTTCTAGAGAATAAATTAAAGTTAAAATTTAATTAAATATAATTAAATTGGTTATAATTTAATATATTTGTTTAAGAGTAAGAGTAAGTTAATCAAAATTTTATGTATAATTTTTTTAATAAGAAAATAAAAGAAAAGAAGGTTATAAAGTTTCTTAAAGAGTTGTTTTTAACATTATTATAATGTAAAATAATAAAAGTTAAAGAGAATATTATTAATTATTTTATTGAAATTGAAATAGATAAAAATAATTTTTTTTATTTAAAAGAATTTCATTTTATATTATAATTTTAAAGATATATAGATAAATGGATAATTAATTAGAAATAGATAAAATTAATCAAATAAAAAATTAAGAAAAGAAAATTAAAGTTATTAAATTGAAATAAAATTAACAATAAGAATTTTTTTTTTTTTTAGTTTTAAATTAAAATTAATGATTTTAAATTAATAAAAGGAATAAAAAAGAAATAATTTATAAAGATAGTTTTAATAATCAATAAAAATAAATTAAAGGAATTATTAATATAATAATATTTTTAATTATATTAAAAGAATAATATTTAGATTTAAAGATAGTATTAAATTCAATTTTTAGAAAGTATTATTAGAAGAAGTATATGATATTGAAGAAATATCATCAAATTCAATATTATTTTCATTAATCCATGATTGTATTTCATCATTAATAGACAATAACTTTTGATTAATAAATGAAAGTTTTTTTAAAGATTTATTCTTCTTTTTTTCATTAATTACTTTTTTTTGTTCTATTTCAGCATTTTGTTTTGCTATTTGGTAAGCTTGAGTTAAATCAATTATATCTCTTTTTTTCTTTTCAAGATTTTTATCCATTTCTTCTAATTCTTTTAATTCTGTATGTATTTTATTATGAATAATTTCATAAAGTTGATTAAGGTCATCTGATGTTTCTAAATGAGTTTCATTATTCATTATTAATTTTAAATTTTTAGTTTATTTAAAGAACTAAGAAAAAGATATGAAAAAATGATTTAATTTTATGAATTATTTCATTTATAATAATGAAATAAAAGGAGATTGAGGTTCTAATTGATATAAATCTTGTTTTTGTTCTTTAGATAAATGAATTAAACATTCACCAATTTTTTTTCTATTATGGTAAACAATACATTTTTCAATATATTGATTAGTAATAATAAAAGTTAAAGGAAGAATAAATCTTCCAATTTCATGTTCTTTTTCTGTTATAGTACAAGTAATCCAGTATCTTTTTAAGACATCTAAATTAAAATGATTTAAAATTAATACTGTTTGTATAAAATTAGTTTCATAACGTTTTGGTAATATAGATAATGTAGTAACAACAGAAGTAAGAACTTTTGAATTAAAAGTTAATAATAAAGGTTTATCTATTTTAGATAATAATTTTAAATGAATATTAATTATATTAACTTTTAGAGATAAAGAATCAATAAAAGATGGTGTTGGAAAATCTTTAAAAGAAAAAGTTGAAGTAATACAATTTTGAAAAGTTTTATCTTTTAAATCAATTTCATTTCCTTCATTTAATAAAGAAGATTCTATTTGTAATAAATTTTTACTTGTAGAATCAATACAATCCCAAATACTTCTTTGAAAAATAATACCATTTGATGCAAATGCTTTAGTACGTCTTATAGCTGTATCAAAAGAAGGTATTTTATTAAATGGAGGTTGTTCAAAAGTAGTAAAGAAAATTTCTTGAATATCAGTATTAAGATCTATTTGTGATTTAATAAACATTGATTCATCTTCTTGAATATTTTGTAAAGGATGAAGAACTAAAAATGCTAAAGTAGTTTCATTTATATTAAATAAAATTGCACTTCCCCAACATTTTAATTTTGACCATTTTTGTGGTTTAGATTTTTCAAAATAAACATTACTAACTTCAACATTATGTAATTTTTTATATTTTTCTTTTTTTAATAATATACATTGAGCAATTATATCTGTTGTATGAACAGCAACTAATACATAAGGAGATTTTATTGCATTAAGTAATAAAAAAATATTTTTAAATAAATCAAATGGAGGTTGATAATCACCAATAAACATTGAAGAATCATAATTACATTTATTTAATTGAATAATAATAATATCTTTATCATTTTCTTTCATAATTTCATTTAATAATGCACCATCAGGTGGAATTAATATTTTTTCCATATTCCAAGTAATAAAACGAATATTAATTTCTTTTGATAAAGAAGATAATAAATGTGATGATGAATTATTTTTAATATTAAAAAGATTTAATGTAGATGGTGATTTAATTAATCTTAATTTATTTAATTGAAATGCAAGTTGATATGATAATGATATTTCAGAAATAAATAACATTTTTGGTAAACTTGTTATTTTAGTATATAATAATAATATTCTTGGATCATGTGTAATATCACATGCAATAATATCATCTAATAAAATAGAAATACAGAGTCCATTTTCAATAAAATATTCAATATAATGTGTTTTTGTAATATGAATATGAATTTTTATTTGATTTGATTTTTTCATTGAAATATCTGTTTTTAATACATTATTAATACATAAAATTACATTATTACAAGATTCTTGTTGTTTTGAAAAAAATATTTTTCCTAATATTAAATTTAATATTTCTTGTGGTTTTTGATATTGTCCTGTTGTCATAGAAATAAATGATCTTTTAACTGATGTTTTTCCATCAGATAAAACACCACTAAATCCTCTTTTACCATTTCTAGTATAATCTGTTTTCATTGCTTTTGTTCCTGTATATCTAAAACTCATTTGATTAGCATGATCTGCCCAAATATTCATATAATCTGTATTCATTGAAATTATTAATTGTGGATTTTGAATATTAAATTCTTTTAATTGTAATTTAAGAATCATTTTACCAATACATGATTGAATTACATTTGTTCTATCTAAACAATCAATACAATTTGTTCTTACTACACCAGTTTGTTGATTTAAAATTTTTCCTTTATTATTAATTGTAAAAAAATTAAATGTCATCATTCTTTTATTAATTGAATTAAGTAAATATTTTATATTTTCATATTTATTATTTATACATTCTTTATGAAAATCAAATGCAAAATAATCTACTTTTAATTTATTATTAAGTCCTAAATAAAATTCATACATATCATGTAATATTTTTTCTGGTCCATGATTATCTAATAAATTAATAACAATAATATCTCCATATATTTCTTTTAATTTTTTAAAATGATTTGTAATACACCAATCTTGATATATTGTTTGATAAAATTTCCCTTTAGGTCTAAAAGTATCTTCTTCATTTGTTTTCCAAATTAATGGAATAGTTCCTCTTATTTGAACAAAACTAGAAATCATTCCATCTTTTTCAATTATTTGTTCTGTTTCAACAAAATTAGAAACATTACCATTAATATCACCACCTCTTGAAGAAAATCTTAATCCAGTTCTTGAACAATCTCTTCTTGAAAATAAAATATAATTAATTCCATATTCAAATTTTGTTGAACGAATAAATCCATCTACAAAAATAATTTTCCATTCTTCAAATTCTTCAATCATTTTATGCATACTTTTATTCCAATAAAATCTATTATCTATTTTATTATTATTTTTCTTTATTTCTTGAAAATTTAATGTTATATTCATATCATAACTATAATATAATAAACATTCATCAAGCATTTTTTTAATATCTTGTATTAATTTATTGTCAATTTTATATAATTCATTTTTTATTGTTGGATTAATTAAAGGAAGAATTTTAATATCATTAACATTTTTTATTATTTGTCCATTAATTTCTATACATTTTATTCCTTTAATACCAATACAAATAATACAATTAGATAATTTAATAAATCCCATAAGTTCATCAAATTTATATTCTTGTAATAATTGTCCTTTAAGTAATTCTTGTTTAATTATTTTTTCTTCATATTTAAATGATAATTTTCTTCTTCCTTCTTTTTCTAGAAATATACCATCTGTTAAATAAGAAATAGTTATTGGTTTAGTCATTTCTTACTTAAAATATTTTTTATTTTTAAGTTAAATAAAACAAAACAAAAAATTAAAAATAAAAAAAAATTAAATATAAAAATTTAATTAATTTAAGATATTTTTTGTTTTTACTTGAACCATTTTTTTATAACTTTTAGGATTTGGTGTTGAAATAAATGGTATTGATTTTTGATATTGTTCTATTTTATTTATAAGTCTTTTATTAATAATACGTTCAAGTGTTCTTTTTGCATCATCTAAATTTCTATATCGTTTCATTGTTGTTCTTAATTTCTTAAAATATATTTTATCATTTTTTAAATCTTTTTCATTTATTTCAAATGATTTAAATGCTTTTTTTCTTTTATTAAGATCATTAACTGTTTGTTTATCATATTTATTTATCTTTTTACCTTCACAACATAAAATAATAAATATTAATATATAAAAAAGACTTTTCATATTCATAAATAATAATATATTTATTTTTAAGTTTATTAAATAATTTAAATAAAAAATAAAATAAAAAATAAAAAACACAAATATCTTCAATCAAAATTTTGTTATAAAGTATTTGCTGATTTTTTTGCATCAGCAAATAATGAAATTGCCATGTCAACATCAACTTTTTGAATTACTATATTACCATTTGTTTTTGCTACTATAGATGTTGGTGTTAACATTTGAAGAGTAAATCTTAATGATGTTTGTGTTGCTAATTCAGCTAATGATAATAATGCTTGTTCAGATAATTCAACATTTTCAATTCCTGCACGAATATTAATAATTTTTAAGAGCTCTTGAAGAGTATATTGTTTTGTTACAATTACTAATAATCTATCTAATAAATCTAATGGTATTCCATGAGGTGCAAAATCTTCTGTTCCTCTTACTTGTACTAATCCTCTATTTGTAGCAAATACAACAATAGGTGCTAATGTTGATTCTAATGCTCTATTTAAGAATGCAAAACATTCTGCATCTAACATATGAATTTCATCAATAAATAATACTCCAGGAATTAATTCAGCAATTCCTTGATTAATATATTTATTAACCATTTTATTAACTTCTCTTCTTAATTTATCTGTCATTTCAATTTTTTTACCTCCAAAAGAATCAATTCCATTTGGTGATTTAATATTAGCTGCATCTAATTCATATAATGAAACATATGTAATTACTTCTCTTTTTTGATGTACATCACCACTAGGAAGTGAAATAAATTTATCATTTTCAAGATCATGTTCTAAAGCATAATTATCACATTTTCCCATTCTTTTAACATCACCAGATTTTGATTCAATACTAATAACATCTCCTAATGTAACTTTTTCAATTTGTAATTTATCATATATTCCTGGATCTAATCTTAATTGTTTTGTTTCTTTATTTGTTTTTAATGAAACAATTACTCCACATACTGTTTTTCCATATCCTCCAACAGCATTTGGTTGAAATTCTGGATTAATTTCTTTAACTTCTCCAATATATACATCTTTTATTTCTGTAATTTTTATTCCAATTGCTCTTCTAAAATTTTCCATTAATACTTCTGTTTTTTTAATTTCTGATGAAAATACTTCTGACCCTACCATTGCTCTAAATGGAACATGTTCTCCTAATTCTTTTGCTAATGCTTGTGCTAATGCTGTTTTACCAGTTCCTGGTGCACCTGCAAGTAAAATACCTCTTCCAGCCATTCGTTTTGCTTTTACCATTTCAACAATTAATCCAAGTGCTTCTCGTGCATTTTCTTGTCCAACAAGTCCACATTTATTATTTATTACATTTCCATTAGCATCTAATCCAAGTCCATTAATATGTGAATGAGAAGAAGTACGTTCTTTTGGTTGTTCATTGTGGAGTTCTACAATTTCCATAATAATTAATGATTTTCAGGTTTTTTTTTTTTTATATATTTTTCAATTTTTTCAATTTTAAATATTATTATTATTTTTTTTTTTTAATATTTTTTTTATTTTATTAAATAAATAATTAACTGTTTAATTAATTTTAATGGACACTAATTCATCTAACCACATTAAAGATATTATTCTCTTAATATTACAAACATATATTGATTTAATAAAAGAAATTAATGAAACTAAAGTTTTGATTTTATTTTTTATTTGATATATTAAAAAAAAAAAAATAAAATATATATATTAAATTGTAATAGCCTGATAATAAAACAATAAAAGAATTACAAAAATCATTAAATGAAAATAATACAGAATTTTCTAAATGGTTTGAAGGAATTACACATCTTATTGAAAAAGAATATCCATATTTTTCAACTAAAATGAATTTTGAGAATTTTTTCTTTAAGTTTGATAATATTTATATTAAATTAATAAAAGAAATATTTAAATTTTAGAACTAAAGTGTATCAAATACTTTTATCAAAAGAATTTAGAGATTTAAGTAATTTAAAAGAAAATGAATTAATTAATTATCAAATTTATATTCATAGAGCAATTGTTACACATACTACAATGTATTATACATTAAATTATATTTTTTGTAGAAGTATGCTTTCTATATTATTTAATATTATTAAAGCATTTTTATCAAAAGCATTTTATGGAATTGGAAATCCAATAGAAGAACTTAATAAAATGCAAGAAAAATATAAATCAAGTATATTTATTCTTTTTCAAAATAAATTAATTAATGAATGGTTTATTAAAACACAAGAAGAACTTAATAAATTTAATTATCATCCAATAATATTAATTAAAACATTAAATACAACAAAATCATCTCCAATTATTGAATTTTTAATAACAACATATCGTCAAATAGTATCATTTTTTGATTTAATTTTATTTCTTTTTGGACAACACCAACATTTTACATCTGAATTTAAATTTAATACACCATTAACACCAATAATTGAAATGCTTAAAACAAGTTATCAACAAACAGAAAATGAATCATTTAAAGCATTTGTAGAATTTATTATTAGAATAGTAAATGATCATTGTGTTCCATTAAATAGAAAACCAAATGGATTTGCAAAAGATTTTTTAGGATTATGTGAACAAATTCATTTTTTTCTTCCATTTCATTTTATTAATATTGAAGATAATTTTGTAGATACTAAATTTCAACAAAGTCAATTAAAATGGTATTTTTCTATATTTACTAAAATACTTGAAAAATTAAAAGAAAATATTATAAATGGAAATAAATTAAAAATATCAACATTAATTTGTGAACTTGAAGAAGGAGTTATTATTATTAATAATTTATCACAAGATGAAATGGATGTATTACTTTGGGCACAAAATAGAATAAAAAATCATTTTAATACAATTGAAAAATGTATTGATAATAATAATTTTTCTATGATAACTATTACATTAAAACGATTAATTCAAATTAATTCAGTTATAAAACAATATTGTATGCTTCTTTTACCAAAAGATTTTGATAATTATGAAATTGAAAAATTAGAAAAAGACTTATTAGATGGATTAAAAAGATTACTTGAGAAAATAATTACTAAAGAACAATTTATTAATTTAACAGATAAATTTCAAAATCAAATTCAAAAATTAATTTCAACAGCTATTTGGAAAGGAAGAGATGAAGAAATTGTTAATTGTGTTATTACAATTCATTTAATTTATCAAAAATTTGATTCATTTACAAAATTACAAAAACAACAAGCAATTTCTACATTAAAAGAAACTATTAAAAGATTTATTAATTGTTGTAGAGAAAGAAAACCAATAGATAGAACATTAAATAATTTACTTGATAAATTAGAAATATTTTCAATTGAATATGAAAGTATGGAAAAATTTCAAAATATTCTTCAACAAATTCTTTATATTTGTGAAACAATTTTAACAGAAATTATTGATTGTTTTGAATATATTAGTGAAATATCAATAGAATATTCACATAATTTACTTGATATAATGTGTAATATGTTTCAAAAACATATTTTTTATAAAGGATTTTCATTAACAACATTTTTAAAAGAATGTATAGGATATACAATATCAATACTTACTAATTCAATACCAATTACAAGTATTACTGAAGAATTACCACAATATTGTAGTTATATTATTTTAGAAGCAACTTGTATTGATACAACAAATATTAATCATCAAAAACCAAATAGTATGAATGAATGTTTAAATGCAGCATGTAAACTTGAAAATGATTTATTTAAATTAACATCTACAATTTTAACTTCATATAAATATTCGTTTAAATATTTTTCACTTCAACAAAGAATAAATTTTATTATACTTACATTATGTAATACAGTTAGTTCATTTTGTGTTAATTTTTTTTCTCAAAATATTCAAACTCAAGAAACACATTTTAATCTTCTTAAAGAAGAATCTAATAAAATATCAATAATTGTAGAATATTTATTATCAGATTCTAATTCAAATGTTCATCCTTCTATATTATCAATTTCACAAATGTTTGATAAATTTTCAGATATGGTATTACCTCTTATTCAATTATTAAAACAAACAAATGGAAAACTTGATAATAATTTAAAAGAAACTTATACACAAGAATTATTAAGATGGAATAGATTAATAGTTACAGTTTGTTTAAATAATTGTTCAATAGAACGTTTAGTTGAAGATTTTGCAATACTTTCTAATGAATTAAAAAATTATATTTCAGGAATAGATTTAACAAAACATTATTATGCAATTAGTGGAATGTTTTCATTTTTTAGAGAATATATTTGTCTTGTTGATAAATTTTCATTAAATTTATTATATCCTTCTATTTCATGTAAAGCAAATATAATGCTTAGTTTATATTCTTATTCAAAACAATTTGAGAGAACATTTCAAACAATTGATTTAAGTACAATTGATGAAAATACATTTTTTTATTTAAAACAATCATATAATAAACTTCTTATTTATTTAATTTATTTAGTAAAACCATATGTAAATTGGAGTAGAGTATATCTTGAAATAAATGAATTAATTGATGGATATGAAATAAAAAATTCATCAGTACAAATAAAAATTAAATCATTTTTTATAAGATCATTAAGTCTTGTTAATTGTTTTTTACAAACAAGAGAAACAGTTGATTGTTTTGAAATTGCATTTAAAGGATATTGTAATGATGTATTATTAACTTATAATAATCTTCATATTCCAATTGAAATATTACAAACACTTAAAGAAATGTTTATTAAAAGAATTATTGAAAAAGATTATATTGAAGATATTATTATTGATATAGTTTATTCATTTAAATTATTTAATACTATTAGATATAATTTAGATTCTTCTTCTACAAGAATAGAATTTCAACTTATTAATTATCATATTAAAAAAACTATTGATAATGCTCTAAATATAATAAGATTAATTTCACCAATAACTTTTCTTAAAAATAAAAATATTATTAAAATTCTTCATCTTATTGGTACATTAAATGAAGATTATTCTTCAATTACATTAATTCAAGATATAAAAATTATTCAACAAAGAATTACAATAATTCTTTCTTCATTTACTTCTAGTATTCAAAAATTAATCAATTTTGAAAGTTATTATTCAAATAAAATGTTATTCTTTTATAAACAAATTATTATTTTCTATTATTTTGTTAATTATCAAACAAATGATAAAAATCAAATATTATTAAATCAACAATCATGTGAAAAAATTATGTTTGAAGCAAGAAAAATATTTTCTCAAATTTTAAAAATTAATAATATATTTTTTTATTTTACAGATGATACTATTTGTTTATCAAAAAAAGGAAATACATTATTATCAAAATATATTACTAATTTATTAGAATCATGTAATGATTTACTTATTAAATTTCAAACATTTTCTTATGATAATCTTAATACTTCAAGTAATAAAATAATTATTCAACAAACTAAAATTATTCTTGAAAGAATTAATGATATTTTAAGTTATAAATCTAATTCTTTAAATAAAAAAATTATTGATATTTGTGAAAATGTTGTAGATGGATTTGTATTTTTTGATCAAATTAAAAATATTAATAATTCTCTTCTTCCTTCACTTAATTTATATGAAAATTATTTTTCTAAAATAAGTGATATTGTTAAAGCAGCTATTTTAGCAGAAATTGAAACAAGAAGAGAATTAAATGAATATCCACAATTAACAAATTTAATGCAATGGAAATTTGATTTATATCATTCTAGTATTATTAATTTTATTTTACCTTTTCGTCAAATGTGTTATGAAGTTATTGAAAAAAAAGATTTAATATCTTCTAATAATGTAATTCAACAAATTAAAAAAATAATTCATGATACAGGAATTGAAGATAGAGTATTTTGTAATAAAACTATAAGAGAATTTTTACTTCAAAAAGATTTAATTGATCAAAATAGATTAAAAAGAATTAAACATTTAAGAATTCTTTATGATATGACATTAAATCAATTTACAAAAGAAAATTGTCAAATTTTTTTTAACAAAATAAAAGAATTTAATTTAGAAGATGAAATTCCATATATTGAAATGAATGAAATAAAATTTAATGAAGAATTAATGAATGGAATGAAACAACATCTTCTTAATAAAATTCAACTTTTTATTCCATCTGTTAAAGTTTTTTCAGAAGAATGTATTAAATTTTATAAATCATGTAATGTTTTATTACAAACAATTTGTATGTTTAAAAATTCAAATAATCAAATAGAAAAAATTAGAGAAACACTTAAAAAATATTGGAATAAATTAAAATTATTATTAATTAGTATACAATTATTTGATTATATGAGTCCTTCTATAGGAATAATATTATCTCAACAATATAAAATTACTGAAAAACATATTATTAAAATGATTAATTTTGGAAATAAAACAAAAGATATTGATTATTGTTTAGA